AAAAAAAAAAAAAAATTCTCACAACTGGACTGTGTCAACTTGGCTGGGCCTGGTTGAGTAGCTGGGTAGCTGGATGTAGTATTCCCCATGATGAGACTGGTAATCAACTCCATGGTGGAAAATACTGTGAGCAGCTGAGTAGCTGCCTTAGGGAATGTGGTCTGCTTCCTGTATATAAGCAGAAGCCTTGGGGAATGGTCTCTAGCTTATGGCACACTTGGACCCTGCATGTAGCCATGTCATTATTCAGCAGCCTGCCATGCTCTGCCAACCTTGGGACTTACAATAGACTTGAAGTAATGGCCTGCTATGTGGGTTGGTAACATTGGGACTGTGTCATTTTACTTGTAAGCCTTGGTTTGTCAGCCTCAGCAGCCAGCAGCTGAGTGAAGAAAAGCCTCCAGCTTCAGTGGGCTGGGAGCAGGAGGTAGAGCTGAAACCCAAGGTTGAGGGCCTTTCACTCATCCCCTAGAGCTTGGCACTTTGAACATGGACTTAAAGCCTTCAAATTGTAAGAATAAACTCCTCTTTGTTAAGGCCATCCCATTTGTGATATATTCCTATCAGAGTGGCACTAGGTAACCAAAACATGGACCAATAAGCAACATCATGATAAATGGAGAAAAGATTGAAGTTGTCAAGGATTTCATTTTACTTGGATGCACAATCAACTCCCACAGAAGCAGCTGTCAAGAAATCAAACGATATATCACATTGGGCAAATCTGCTGCAAAAGCTCTCCTTAAAGTGTTTAAGAGCAAAGATGGCCTTTTGAAGACTAAGTTGTGCCTCATCCAAGCCACGGTCTTTTTGGTCTTTTCAATATCCTCATGTGCATGTGAGAGATGGACAATGAATAAAGAAGACTACAGAAGAACTTAAGCATTTGAATTTTGCTATTGGTGAAGAATACTGAATGTACTATGGACTGCCAGAAGAACAAATTGATTATGGAGGAGGGACAGCCAGAATATTCTTCCCAAGTGAGAATAGCCAGATTTCATCTCTCATACTTTGGTCATGTTGTCAAAAGGGATCATTCCCTGGAGAAAGATATCATGCTTAAAGTAGAGGGTCAGCAAAACAGGGGAAGACCCTCAAGGAAGTGGATTGACACAGTGGCTGCATCAATGGGCTCAAGCATAGCAATGATTGTGAGGATGATGCAGGACTGGACAGTATTTCATTCTGTTGTACATAGGGTCCTATGAGCCAGAATCAACTCAATGGCACCTAACAACAACTACCCCCACATTCAAGTGTCTCATATTCCAGGATTGATAAAAACACATAAACACGTAATTACAGATGTGACTCCCTAACAAACAAGAGAGTGACATGCTGCAGGAGCACAGAGAAGTTATCTTTTGAAAATGATCAGAACAGAATGTTAAGAGAAGTTTTGTTTTTAAAATGCTATTTGCAAAATTATGTGGGCTTTTATTACCAACACAAAATTATCTTACTAGTATTTTCTGAAGTGGTGTGTGCCATGTAGGAGTTAAGTTGACAAGATAAAAAGGTTAAATCAGCAGAGAAAGTTTATATATCTCAATGGCAGCATTTTTCTTTGTTGAATAAAAATGAAGAAAGAAATACTGCTTTTGTATTACTTGACAGCTTTTCTTGCCTATGCTACTTGGAATGGGTATCAGATTTTTTTAAAAAAAACATATGAAAGGAAAAAAATAAAACATCACAAACAAGGAAGTTCTCTGAGTTACAGAAAGACAACTACAACATTTAAGATAAAGCATTTCAAGCTATATGGAAGTCACCTCCTGGAAAAAAAGAAAAAAAAAAAAAAACAGCAACTATTTTATAAGCTCATCAGACTCTTATTCGTAATAAAAGGGAAACTCCTATCTCTTCTGATAGCAATATTCGTACTCCAATCTTTTTGTTTAATTGATACAACTTACTAAAATGACTTTTTGTGATCCTTCAATATTACATAACTCTTTCAAAAACCTTTACCTAATTCTGAAAACCTGGATCTATCAAACAGACACAATTAATTTAAGATGCAACACATCATTATTTGACCTAATTTAAAGATTAGTGGCATTGGCATATTTTAATGTTTTGATAGTCTCTTTCCATTGACAGACCACATCTTTCTGAGTCATTTCTATGTTTGTGTTTATGTTAAACATTATTTATTTTCCTAGGCCTTGCATCTATTTGGTTATTTTAAGGTAGTGATGTCATCTGGAAGACTTGTTAAAGCTCAGACTCAGGAGCCCCATCTCTAGAATTTCTGATTCAGTAGGTCTTTGATGGAGCTAAGAATCTGCATTTTTGACAAGTTTCCAAATAATGCTGATGCTGCTGGTCTGGGTACCAAAGTTTAGAACCAGTGCTTTCACAGGCATCAATTTTTTAGGGCCCTAAGTCTTAGAGCCCTAAGTCTGTTGGTCTGAAGTTTCTCAATCTACAGCTTGATCAGGAAGTGCTAGTTATCCCAATTCTCTCAAAATTAACATCACCTTTGTGTTACTTCCTAGATTCTATACTCACAACCTCAATCTCAAAGACCATCAGATTTTCCTTCCTTTAATATTTTCCACTGTCTTGTAATAATCTGTAAGTTATTAGCTTGCAAAGATCGTTCACATTTGTATTCCCTCCCCTCCAATCACTGTCTTCCAGTTTTCTACATGATCCATTCTCTCTTTCATAACATTCTTATACTACCTTGGGTCTTTCCATGCCTCATTTGCTCTTACTCAATTGTACCCAATTGCTAGCAACATTCATTCATATGCTCATTCAGCCCATTAACATTTGTTACACAATTAATATATAATGAATATGACAATATTTTTGCACTCATGAGTTTAAATTATAATGAGAAGATAAAAAGTAAACATTTAAATGAATTAAAAAGTATGATATATTCAGGGACTGAAACATACAGTGAAGAAAATAATGACAATAGGTAAGAAAGTGAGTAGCAATGAAGTGTAGCTTAGCTGCAAAGATAGGCTAACATTAAGCTGAGTCCAATGATGAGATGAAGGCAATAATGTGAAGAACATGGAAAAGAATTTTCCAGGCAGAGAAAATACCAAAAGCTCTGAATAAGGAGCTATGATTGTATTTGTCTCCTAACCATAAGGTCAGTGGTTCAAACCCACCAGCTGCTTGGTGGAAGAAAGATGGAGCAATCTACTTCCATAAAGATTGACAGCCTCAGAAACCCAACAGGTGTTACTGTGACTCAGAATGGACTTGATGGCAGTGAGTTTGTTTGTTTGTTTGTGGTTGAGATAGGAATAAGCTTAGGCTAATCAAAGTGCAGAAAGTCCACTGCATTTCAATCTAGTGAAGGAGACAGGGAGGAATATGGTTGAAGAGAAGCTGAAGGAGGTGGGGAGTGAGCAAAAGTTTTCCTGAGACATTTTTAACCACATATTTCACACGTGGTATGCAAACTAGGAGACTACAATACATAGAGAATGAGACATAGGACCATTCCTCTGGCCACCACGAATTAAGATATTAACAGAATTTTAGTGAAGAGAAATTTAAAGACTAATACCAGGATTCATTGTCTTGCCTTGGTATTGATTGCATTCAAATATGCTCAATGAACTAAAATAGCTATTATTTTGAAATATGTATAACCCACCTCCATTACCATTAAGTAAATTCAGATTCATAGTGACCTTAAAGGACAGAGTAGAACTGCTGATAGGGTTTCCAAGGCTGTAAATCTTTACAGGAGAAGACTGCCTCATCTTTTTACTGAGGAGCAGCCGATGGGTTCAAACTGCTGACCTTTTAGTTAGCAGTCAAACACTTAACCACTGTGCTACCAGAGTTCCTTGAAATCTGGATACAATATCTTTTAATCTTTGTCTTCATAAATACTGAATTAATGATCCAAGAACCACTGTAGGTATTGACATATAGTAGTACTGGAAATGGGCCATCTCTTCCCTCAATAAATTCAAGATTCTGAGTGAAGAGTGGGCAAAATTAGGTCAGGCATATATCCTACACCTTTATTTCACAAAGGTAATACTCTCCAACAGTGATGATTCTGATATAACTGGCAAAATATATCCAGCAAAATAATGCCTAGTATATGAACCCACACATCCATTTAGGAAACTTGAGATAATGAAAAACAAAACAAAACAAAACAAAAAACAAACTCACTGCCACTGAGTCAATCCCAACGCATAGTGAATCCTTTTGGGTTTCCAAGGCAGTAAGTCTTTACAGAAGTAGATTGCCCAGTCTTCCTTCTGTGGAGTGGGTGGTGGGTTTGAACCACCAACCTTCTGGTTAGCACTCAAATGCCTTAGGCACTGCACCACCAGAGAGAAGTAGAAATCAGCCTAAAGATAGTGTTGTCATATATTTTCAACTGTACTTAAGAATCAAGTCTTTGTCATCGTTGTTGTTATGTGCCGTTGAGTTGGACCTGACTCATAGTACTCCTCCTTGGGTTTCCGAGACAGTATCACTACAGAAGTAGATTGCCCCATCTTTCTTCCAAGGAGTGGCTGGTGGGTTTGAACCACCAGTCTCCTGGTTAGCAGTCAAGTGCCTTAGGCACTATGCTACCAGAGCTCCCATCAAGTTTTTAGTACCTGATAATTTGAAATCTTTTGGGCATTAGCCTCCAGGTAAATTTGAGGGTATCTGAGCTAAAAGGGATTTATCAAGCAGGGTTCCTTTGAAAGCAAATAAGTCTAGGTATACAATTATGGTTTTACAATTATAAAAATTTGTCACTAACATCACCTGAAATTTAAAATATATTCTCAGCAGCAACACAATGTTTTTCCAGCATTTAAGAGCTAAAAACATTTTGCAAAAGTTTTAAAAAATATTTCAACATTATTTTTTGAGTTTTAGGTTTTAAAATATAAACATTATTACATTGGAATAAAAAATCCTTTTGGTTTATACTGTAAAAGTCACATAATCTCATTTGTAACCCTATTTTATTCACTCCTCAACATCACATAGATTGGTAACATTACCTGTCAGCATCCACGGTCACATCATGAACCCCTCTCTGGATGACATCCCTGGAAGTTGCTGTGTCTGGTATTCGGTTCAGACTTCTAGTATACAGATTGAGCCCTCCATCTGTCATATAGCTGAAAATAAATGTCTAGTTAATCAACAGAAAATTAAATGACCATATTGTATAAATTAACTTAATAAGAAAACTGTATTCACAATTTTCAATAATTATTCAAATGGTCTATTGGAGTTTCTTTTGTATAAATATTCTATTAACCAGGAAGAACTAAAATATCTGTTTAAGTTTATTAAGAAATCAACCTTCATTATTTCAACATGTAACTAGCCTACTTAATTTTTCTTCTGTTATCCATATTTAGAAAAGTCTTATCAATAATATAATTCTTACCAAAATAAACACCAAGATAATTTCATTTTGTAAATGCCATTTATGAAGAGTTGAAAGTCACAGGAGTAATGGAATATTACTAAACTTAATATTAGATGAACTTATTTATAAGTAGAAATTATGCCATAATTGACCACCACCCTAATAACCAACATGTATTATATGTTTAATATGTGTCAGAAAATGTTCCAGTTCATATGCAATACCAAATTTATATATCCATTTTAAGACAAAGAAAATAAGTAAGTACCAAAAGGTTAAATAATTGCTTGAGATCACTCAAAGCCATGGCAGAGCTGAGAGCTGAGTCTAAAAAGTCAGCTCCATTAACCACAATCTTAAACACCATGCAATGCTGTCTGAGCCAAAGCACCACATTGTCGTCCCTGCTTCCTGTCTTTGAAAACTATCTCCTTCCCATCACCTGACTATCACACAGAGTTGGTAGACCATGAAAGTCATGTGACTATTAAGTAATATTTCTTCCCTAGTGCTAAAGGGACAAGGAAGCAGCATCCTCAGATCTCCTCTAACTCCACAAGAGGAAGACAGAATCACCATCAGTAGACCAAGGCCTGCTCCTATGAGGCCAGATATGCTGCCACCCTCCAGACCTCTTACTAACCTTGACACCAACCTTCCATCCTATAGCACCCACCACCTCTTTACTGCATTTGATAATTTGCTGCAGTGGCCACAGAGAACTCACAGACTATGGGGTTTATTAGGGAAGCAACAGGCTACAATTCAAGTTCAGGAACACACTCTGGATACAATTCTTCAATTAGGACAGTCTCCCCTCTGCTGTGTCCTCAGACATGCCTCTCTGGCCCTTGGCCTCTCGGCCTAGCCTCTGCCTCTGTGGACCAGGTAAGCCTGACACTCTGTCTGATGCCTCTTGGTTCCACTGCTGCTGTCTTTCAACCAGGTGTGTCTCTCAGCAGCACACCTCTAAGCAGTGTTTTTCTCTCTTACCAGTGCATCTCTCTCTCAGCAGCATGTCTCTCTCTCAGCAGTGTGTCTCTCTCAGCCACCAGTGGTAGATTCCTTCTGCCTCCAGGAGGGCTTATTTTGAGCCTGGCAGAGTGGCATAAACCAACCAATCCCAACATCAGAGTTCTACACACCTGAGAGAGAGAGAACTAACTTTCCCAGAAGATTACTTCATGCTGCTCCAAGAGAAATACTCCAGGTGGATGATTTTAACAAGCAGGAGTTTAAATTGCATGGACCCACCCAGTAATCCAGTGGAAGTTACAAAGACTATGGCTAGAAAAACATACCATGTAATTTACTTCACCACGCCTAGACATGAGGTATTGGATCATGGTTTTATTTTCCTGTCTCATGATGGGCTAACCAGGTCTTTTTCCCTGGAGAATTAGAATTAAGTCTTTCTATGGAGATGAAGTAATGATAAAGGAAACAGAGGAGCTGTGGGTACCTTTTTCTACCAGGTGCAAAGAACCACAGAAAAATTTCTCAGAAAGGAAGAAGAATGAACCAGAAGCACAAAGAGAAGCAGAGAAAGTTGTTCATTTGGTTTTCACTCCACAACCTGCCTTTCATTTTTAGAAGATCTCATGACTCCCTGAAAATCAACTCTCATATTTATTTAAGCAAACTCAAGTTAACTTAATTTTTCTGAATTAAAAAAAAGGCAAGATAATTAACCTTTTAATTTCCTTATTTAATTTTGATTAGCCAAATAGTTTAATACCAGGATTACTAAATGGAACTAATTATTTATATAACTAGTAAATTTAGTGACTTACTAATTGGAAGAGCTTGAATCAGTTTCTTAACTGTGCTTCAATATCTTTCTCTGACGATGGGAAAAGTAGTATCTACCGCAGATGATTTAGGATAACTAAAAAAGTATATAAAGTTTTTAATATAATAAGAATGTGTAAACAGTAGCTACTTATATTCATGATGTCCAAACACATTTTGAAAAGGAAATGCAAGAATTTGACCTGTGAAAAACAAAGTTGCAAAGGAAATGCTAGGAGGTCTGGTAGCGTAGTGCCTAAGGCACTTGACTGCTAAAAAGAAGGCTGGCGGTTCAAACCCACCAGCCACTCCTCGGAATGAAGGTTGGGCAATCTACTTCTGTAGTGATACTGCCTCAGAAACTGAAGGAGGGGTCGCTATGAGTTGGGTCTGACTCAACGGCACATAACAACAACAACAAATAACAACACTAAATTTTACTACATTATCCTTATAAAGAGGGGCCTCATGGAACAGCTTTTAAAATGCTTGGCTTCTGACCAAACAGTTGGCAGTTTGAACCCACTAGCCACTCTGCAGGGAAAAGATGTGGCAGTCTGCATCTGTACAGACTTACAGCCTTGGAAACTCTATGGGGGCAGCTCTACTTAGTCCGATAGACTGCTAATGAGTCAGAATTGGTTTGAATTTGGTTATCCTCATAAAGTGCCCTGTAGGGTTAATTTTATTTAAAACTGAATTTAAATTTAAATTTTAAACCCCTACCACCACAGCTAGGAGCTCTGGTAGCATAGAGGCTAAGGCACTTGACTGCTAACCAGAAGGCTGGCAGTTCAAACCCACTAGCCACTCCTCGGAAGGAAGATGGGGCAATCTACTTCCGTAGTGATACTGCCTCGGAAACCCAAGGAGGGGTCGCTATGAGTCCGGTCTGACTTGATGGCACAGAACAACAACAACCACAGCTACCAAATTTAAAAAAGAAAAAGAAGATTTTGGCTCTAAAATACACTGAACATGGATGGGATGTGTTCTTTTTAATAGAGAATATTGGATACTAATTTAATTTTCTCTTATGACTAATTCATGGTTATGAGCATCAATTCCTGTTCTGTGTACAGTGATACTCAGTGGGATAATTGATGGGTGAAGAGCCAAATATTTGTCCTTAATTTTTTTTTGTCAATAGTCAGTGTTTTGTGTTAATATTTTGTTGTTTATTCTTGCTTCCAATTTTTTAGCTTATTTTCCACACAGTTATCAACTAATATTCCAGAAGGTTTTTATTGTCTCTTTTTTGAAGGTAGAGCAATTTTAAAGTTGGAAATTTCTTATAAAATAAAAAGTTTAGTGGCAAATATTTTCTTAATTCACTTCTCATTTTGGAGATAGGTTTTAAAAAGTTAGGATGGCAAGAATCTTCTCTCTTGATAAGTGAGCTGTAAAGGATTTGCTTTGAAGGAATAACATAAAATTTCAAAAAAGAAGAAAGATTCCCTAATAATATTCTATGTTAAACTTCAAAACTATCAGCCAAAGTCAGATTAAGAGGCAGAGAGACCTGTGAAAAAGTTGCAAAGGAAATTTATGGAGGCTACTAAGCAAAAAGAAAAAAATCCCTTAAATAAATTTTGAAGTTCTTAGGAGAATTTTGACCATCTTCAATTTCTCTAAGTCAGAAAATTATAAGATGATTCATATAAAAAGAAATCAATAATCTCATAAAGCATTTCCTGACTCTTCATCCCACTGGTACCTCAGGATATTTTTCTTTCTTTCTGTGTAGACAATCTTTGCATACTTAAGACTTCATGGCATATTTCGTTTAGGTGTCTGTTTCCCAAATTAATATTTCCAGATCATCCTGTTGCACCTTGCTGTTGAACAAGATATTAAGCTGCTTCCTGTGCATAGATATCTAAATATATAAGTACCTAAAATATAGCATGTAACTGAAGCTATATTATCTTCACCTATAAAGCTCATGATCTTTATATTTGTGCATATCATTATAGAGGAATAGCATCCATCCATTCAGCAATCTACATATATAATGCTCCTCCTCTTCACTCTCCACACCTAATTATTTTAAGATAGAATCTCTTCAAATCTGTAAATCAGCATTAGTAGGCTCTACTTGTTGTTGTTGTTATGTGCCGTCGAGTCGGCCCCGACTCATAGAGACCCCTCCTTGGGTTGCCGAGGCAGTATCACTATGGAAGTAGATTGCCCCATCTTCCTTCCGAGGAGTGGCTGGTGTGTATGAACCACCAGCCTTCTGGTTAGCAGTCAAGTACCTTAGGCACTATGCTACCAGAGCTCCTTATTCCTGGAATTCACTGAAAGAGGGAAAAATTGTAAAATGTTATTTTTTCATGTTCTCAACCATCTTAATCATATATAACTCCACCAACATAGCAACTCCATGTCTTTGCTTTTATAACGAAACATCCAGAAGGCTAGTAGTTCTAACCCACCAGCCACTTTTTGGAAAGAAGTTTGGGCAATCTCCTTCCATAGTGATACTGCCCCGGAAGTCCAAGGAGGGGTCACTATGAGTTGGATCCTACTCAATGACAGTGAGTTTGGTTTTGTTTGGTTTTTATATTGTATTTATGAGAAAGAGTACACAAGTGTAAAAGTATATAGAAAAGACTAAAATGAACTATCAGGTATCCATTACCAAGTTTCAGATATAAGTATTTCCAGTGTTTTCAACATACCCTACTGGCCCCTTTCAATCATATCCTCATTCTTTCATTGCAAACGTATCCACTGTTCTAGATTTTGTGTTAATAATTTCTTTCCATTTCTTCATAGTTTTCTCACATAGATTTATATACCTAACTATATATTGTTTAGCCTCACATGGTTTGGAACTTTATGTACATAGATATACTATATGTACATTTTTGGGATTTTCTTCTTTTGTTGAAATTCTATTTTTATGAATCATCTATAGTCATGTGTGTAGTTGTATTACTAATTTTG